GTTACATAGGGTCCAACTTGATCCAATGGAGTTCTAGAAAACAAAAGGTGTAGCTCTTTCTTCTACAGAGGCTGAGTATAGAGCTTTAGCCCATACAACCACAAAAATTGCATGGCTTCAGAGTTTGTTCCTAAGTGGGTTTACAAGTTAATGTCACTCTGTTATTTGGTGTGACAATGTGAGTACTGGGGCCTTGGCAGCTAATCTGGTGTTCAGCAACAACCAAACACATAAAGATTGATGCTCCCTATTAAAGAGCAAGTTCTTGCAAAAAAACTGCTCATATGTCCCTTCCAAGCTTCAAATAGCTGATCTCTTAACAAAAGCACTATCAGTTGCTTAGTTTACAAAACTCAGAAAAAGCTGAATGTTGTAAGCCAAGAAAACAATAACTGAAGTTACAGATGCAATTTTTGCTGTTTTGTGTTTCTACTGCAGTTTACAGATTGCAACAGATCAAATTTTTTGTGGACTGACGTTTGCAGATTTGTGTTGAAGAACTTGTGTTGCAGCTTGCTAAAATTATAGCACTTGTTAAAAATTTGCAGATTTGTGTGGTAGTGGTGTTGCAGTATTGAAAAAAAAAATGCAGTTTGCAGAATTGTGTGGAATGCAGTTGTGTGGCAGTTTGCAGAATTGTGGAAGCATCAGTTATAGTTTTGTGTTGAGTTGTTGCAGATTTGTGTGAACTGCTGCAGATTTGTGTGTATGCAGATTTGTGTAAACTGCTGCAGATTTGTGTGAACGCTTCAGATTTGTGTGGAATGTAGTTTACAGTTTGCGTTGAGTTGCTGCAAAATTGTGGGAATGCAGTGTGTGGCAGTTTGCATAATTGTGTGGAATGCAGTTACAGTTGTGTTAAGTTGCTGCAGATTTGTGGAACTGCTGCAGATTTGTGTGAACTGCTGCAGATTTGTGTGTATGCAGATTTGTGTGAACTACTGCAGATTTGTGTGAACTGCTGCGATTTGTGTGAACTGCTATAGATTTGTAAGAACTGTGTGCACTATTAAATTGTGAAGTTTGGTTGCAATTTGAGTTGTGTTGGAAGTTTAAGAGTTGGTTTGTTTTCTGAAGAGTTAAGTTTGTGCAATTCTGAAGATTCTGAGAGGTAAGTTTGTACAGCTCTGGAAGAAGAGTTAAGTTTCTACTGCAGCAGTTTGCAGATTTGAATGGTGTTGAGTAGCAAAAAGTAGCAGAATGTGAATGGTGTTGAGTAGCAGAATTGTGTGGAAGTTCAGCTACTGCAGTTTTGATTTCAGTTTGCAGTTTTTGAATAGAGTTGAGTATAGTAAGTTGTGTTGAAATTTCAGCCACTAAAATTGTTGAAGTTTAAGGGGGAATATCAATGTACGGGCAAAATAAATTGGTAACATACTCAAAGCACACTCAGTCCAGCTCAAGGGGGAATGTTAGAATAAAAGGACTAAACTGCAACTGTCAAAAGATGGGGGTTCTTAGTAATATTACTGAAACGTTGTTTTAGTAATACACCTCTCTTCTTCAGCTGAATCGTGGTACTTTCTTCAGTCTTCATCAGTTCTCTTTCTTACTGTAAACTGTCTCTTGTAAGCTCACTGTATAAAAGGGGCTTTTGTTGTACACAAAATAAGTTAATGAAGTACACATATTCAGTTTGATTAGTTTTTCTCACAATTATCTCTGAGTTTTACATGATGTACTCAAACAGGTAGTTTCTCTGAAAGGGAATTGATTTGAGAACACAAGAAGTTCGATCAGAAAGCATAGAGCTTGATCTGGAACATAAGTTAACAATCTTAGTGATTTGAGTGCCCAGAAGCACGATCTCGGCACTCGAAAGCGCAATTTAGGTGCTCGGAAACATGATTAGCCACTTGAAAGTACGATATAGGTGCTCAGAAGCACGATCTGGTCACTGAAAGCACAATCTTTGTGCTTGGAAACACGATTGGCCACTCAGAAGCGCAATCTAGGTGCTCGAAGCACAATGTGGTCATTCGGAGATGATCTGGGTGCTCGAAAGCACGATCTGGCCACTTGGAAGTGCGATCTAGGTGATTTGAATGCGTGATCTCAATGATCTTGAACGCGTGATCTGAGTGCTTTGAGAGCTCGAGAGCTTGGGAGCTAGAGCGCTTGGGGCTTGAGAGTTCGATCTGATATGAGAGATCTGAGTGCATGATCTAAGAGATTTGACGCACGCGATTTGAGTGATTTGGCCATGCGATCTGAGCAAGCTGGCCATGCAATCTAAGCGAGCTGGCCACGTAATCTGACAGATCTGATGCTTGCGATCTAACTGCGCAATCTGAGAGGCGATGCGTGCGATCTAAGCGATCTGGCCATGCATCTGACAGATCTAAGTGCACGATCTGAGAGCTCTAATCCGAAACAGCTTCAGTATTTTGATGATAACTTAAGCTATAGACCTCAGATTTGATGATTCTTGGACCTAAAAAGCTAAATTGAAGGGCTAAATTATTATGTTTGTGGCTTGTTTAGATTCAGATTTTATCCTGCTCATATTTCACATCAGATAATGTGATTCCAGAAAAAGAAGTGAAATTTGCGAAGAAGTCGGAAGTTGTTGAAAAAGTTGAGATTGCTTGAAAAACATTGAAAGCTAATGTGATTGTGATGTCGCATATGCCAAGTGCAAGAGGTCTTAGAAATACATATGAATGATTGTGAGAGTTGAGATATAGTTTGAGAGAAACATAAAAAAAGATTGGCAAGAGAGATTTATAGTGGTTCGGATACTAAAGCGAATCCTACATCCATTGTTATTTTATTTTCTCTAACTTTTTTTTTTTTATTGGCCTGCAAGGCATACAAAAAATGGCTATGTTTTGTTTACAAGAAAAATAATGGTTGAAACTTACATTGTGCCCAACTCTATATGTCCAATCTCTATTTTTTCATGAAGAGAGATGTCTTGTTTGTACATTTGAGGAATGTAATGAGTGTTTTTGTAAATTGTCTTGACACGTGGGATCACTCTTTAATCCTTATCCTTTATTTGGATAAAATTGGGACATGTGGTATATAATATCCTTTTAAGGCGGTTTGGTTTCTGAAACTAACACAAATTTCCTTTTAAGTACTTGTTGAGCTCTAATAGCTGGTGGTGACATAATATGTATTTTTGGCAAACACATGTGATCCCAACCATATTAGCTAAAAGAATTGCTTCTTGGAAGAAGTTATTTTATAAGTCACAAAAAATTGGTGCTTTAATTAAGGAGAAAGGTGATTTCCAGGAAAATAAAGAAAAAACATACTTCCATGACAACAGGACTCGTTTGAGTTGCGTCACAGTGGTGTAGTGGAACGGCCTCGAGATTTAGATGAGATGAGGTCAACTGGGTGGGGTCATCATGGAGCCGAAAACTCTGTAACTTTTTCCTTATGTTGGACTCTGTAATCAAAGGAAAAGCTAAATAATTCATGTGGGAACCACCACTCAACACAGATTTGACAGATGTAAGACTTTAACATGACTTGGTTTTAGACTTTAAAGGGCAAAATTAAAAGAGAATTATTCCCCTTCACGCAATTGTCAAGAAATTCTAATCTCCTACCTTTATTATTGTTTCGCAATCAAAGCACCTTTTGGTAGGTCTGACAAAACAATAAAGCAAGAGGCCTATCTTAACGTTAGAGATGGCAATAGGTCCGATATTTTTGGGTATCTGATCCAACCAGCCTAAAAGGAATGGGTTTACCCAAGGTTAGTGGCTTGGACTTGGGTCTGGGCTTGATTTAAGGTCCGACCTCAGGTACGGACCAGACATGGGTTATCTTAGGCCCGATCGGCCGGCCCGTCCGAATTTAGTATTAATTTACTAATTTACCCATACTATATATTTAATTACAATATTATCCTATATATATATATATTTTTTTTTTTTCCAAACCTAACCTCAATTTTCATCCCATATAAAGGTTTAACATGTAAAATTGCCTTAAATGAGTTAGATGAGTTGGTTCAACTTATTAAAGTGGATTTCACCATAACATTTATGACAGCTGAAAAGTTGTATAATCAACTATTTATGAGTTAATTGCTCACTTATTGCTAAATTTTTGTAGAAATAACTTCAATTAATATTTAAAAACCATTTCTAAAATAAAATATAAAAAAATTTGAATTTATTAATATTTAAAAATAAACATTATTAAAAAAGGCGAGTTGGGCCGGGCCTGCGGTTATAAAAACCCGTCGGGCTGGGCTTGGGCTTTGCCTATCATACCCGTAGCGGGCTGGGCCAGGCTTGGCGTGTCATGAGGTCGGGCTGGGCCTGGGCAAGGGGTACCCGGTCCTGGCCGGCCCTTGCCATCACTATTCAACGTACACGGCTGACAACGGAATCATATTAAATTAAGTCCAAATCAGTTAAATTATAGTTATCATTGTATAATAAAATAATAAGATATTAATAGCGAAATTAATATAACTATGGTGCATTTGGTTTATTTTCTATCCATATTCTAATTCTATTCTCTAATATATATGACATATTATTCAAAAATATTATCCTATTTTTTTAATTACTTTTAGACCATATAAGGATATTAATTTCATTAAATATCCCCTGAAAAGAAGTTAAAAACTAACAAAAACACCCCTGTTGACCTATACTTACCAGATTTTGGCAACCACCGTCGGTGGTAGCTGGAATCTGCCACAACGGTGAATTACCGACCGAAACGGGCTGGTAATTCACCAATCTAGTCTTTTCCAACCAGATCCACGATGGATCTGGCGAAAAAGGTCAGATTTGGAAATGGCCGTCGTAAATCTTGGCCATCGTTGACAACAACGACAACAGTTTCTTTGGTTGTCGACCAAAGATGGCCTTTTGGCCTTTTTCGGCATGACGAACACATATTGTCGTAGATCGGCATTTTCGACCCGATCCGCCAGAGCGATGCCATACTGGCCAGATCCGGCGGTATGTGTGTACACATTTTTCCAGCCAGATTTCGACTGTGGTGCTGAATCTGGCATTTTGCTCTTTTCTGGAAATTGAAAATACTTATAGATGGTCTACAAGAATTTAGATTATCTTTCCAATTAATTTTTTAGGTTTTGACAGAGGACGAAATTGCTTGCATATACAATATCAGCAAACTTGTAAAGTCATCATGCAAATAGCCTCTTCATCAACATCTTTTTCTTGTCGTCGGAAATATGATGTCTTTCTAAGCTTTAGAGGTGAAGACACGCGGAAGAGCTTCATAGATCATTTGTATACTGCTTTCAATCAGAAAGGATTGCGTGTTTTTAGGGATGACAAAGAACTTGAGAGAGGAAAACCCATTTCGCCAGAGCTCCTTCATGCAATTGAAGAATCAAGATCTGCGGTTGTTGTTTTCTCAAAAAACTATGCTTCTTCCACATGGTGTTTAGAGGAACTTGTTCAAATTTTTCATTGCAAGAATGTAAAAGTTTTTCCAGTTTTCTATAACGTGGATCCTTCAGTGGTTAGAAAACAAACAGGAGAATTTCAAGAAGCCTTTGTCAAACATGAAGAAACTTTTAGAGAGGATATTGGAAAGGTGCAAACTTGGAGAAATGCTTTGACAGAGGTGGCCAATCACTCTGGATTTGACTTAAAGGATGGGTATGTAACAATTATTTCTTCTTTTTTATAGGGGAAAGCTTAGTTATCAAAATGAATTTTGAAAATGATATTCATGACTTAATTGTTTAAATGCGCCAATTATGATTGTTTAAATGCTAAAAGTAAACCTAATCAAAAAGGAAAAATGAATGTTTCATGTGTATAAACCTATAAGTGTACCGTGTACGTAGATAATTTCTATGATACATACTATTTAGTCATTAGTATATTTATGACTAGCTAGTGTTGTAAGTTGTAACCACAAATTTTTCTTGATCTTTTCCACTTTTTAGGTATGAGTCACAATTTATTCAGGACATTCTGAAGGAAATATCAAGCAAATTATGTTTTTCAAAATACACAAGTGTCGAGGGCCTAGTAGGCATAGATACACGTTTGGAGAAACTAAGGAAACTTATCAGTCCTGAGTCACATGATGTTCGTATGATTGGGATTTGGGGAATGGGAGGAATAGGCAAGACAACAATTGCTACAATTGCCTATGAGTGGTTTTCTGATGAATATGACGGTAGTAGTTTTTTGACTAATGTTAGAGAAAATTCCAAAAAAGATGGTCTAGTTTCTTTACAAAAGATGCTTCTTTCCGAAATTCTAGATATGGAAATAAATGGCATCAACGTACACAATGATGTTGATGGAATAAGGATGATAAAAAGTAGATTGGGGTGTAAGAAGGTTTTTATTGTTATAGATGATGTGAACAATCCAGAGCAATTAGAAAAATTAGCTGGCAAGCATGATTGGTTTGGTAAGGGCAGTAGGATCATAATAACATCAAGAACCAAAAAATTGTTGACATCCCATGAAGTAGATGAAGTTTATGANGGCAGTAGGATCATAATAACATCAAGAACCAAAAAATTGTTGACATCCCATGAAGTAGATGAAGTTTATGAGGCTAAGAAATTAAATGATGTTGAAGCGCTCCAATTCTTCATTTCAAAAGCCTTTAAGAAAGATCAACCTTCAAAAAGTTTGAGGGAGCTGTCCGAATGTGTTGTAAAGTATGCTGGTGGTCTCCCATTAGCTCTTAAAGTTTTGGGTCACTCTTTGTGTGGAGAAGAAGTTGATATATGGAAAGATACATTAGCAAAACTAAAAGAATATGGTGACGAAAATATACTGGACATACTTCAAATAAGTTTTGATGGGCTAAAAGATTCAGAGAAAAAAATATTTCTTGATATAGCATGTTTTTTTAAAGGAATGGATAGGGATTATGTGACAAGAATTCTTGACAGTTGTGGTTTCTATCCAATTTCTGGAATCAAAACTCTGATTGATAAGTCGCTCATAAATATTTTCGATCGTAATAGATTGTGGATGCATGATTTGTTACAACAAATGGGTCAACAAATTGTCTATAAAGAGTGTCCCGAAGAGCTCGGAAAACGTAGTAGATTGTGGAAAGAAGCAGACATTCGTCATGTGTTGACAGAAGGCACAGTAAGCAATTCAATTTTGTTTTAATTAAGCATGTGCACTTTTTCAATTATCATTTGCTTTAACTGGTTAAATATATATATAGAGGTGTGAGCTAGTGCATTATTAGCACAACAGCTAGCCTCTCCAGATTACACATGCATGTGTAATTTTTTTTTTTTTTTCTGTATTTGTTGACCAATTTATAGTTCGGTTGAGCATATTAAAGTCACTTATTCCTCAAAAACACTTTTATTTCCAAAATTATAGTTTTGCTTCTAGTTAATTTTTTTCCCCTTAGTTTAGATACTTTCGATATACATGAGCACAGTGACAATGAGAATAGTACAATCTATAACTANATAACGTCGGCGTTCATTTAGCCGTCCTCCACCATCGCCGCTACCTCCATGTCGTCTATCGTCTCCATTTATGGTTCAGTGAAACTCACTCTACCACTATTGCCGGTTTTAACTTGTCCTCCACTGTCGCCGGTATCCGTTTCACTTGTAGTCATCGATGGTTTCCCGTTAATTTGCTCAAACTCCTTCAAAGGCAAGGAATGAAGAGGCAACAAACGAAAAGCCAAAAGACATTTCATTCTCTCGTTTTTTTCTTGGTAAAGTCAATTGTTGGGGACACGTGTCAAACTCCTTACATGAAATTATCACACTGTCCTTTAACAAACGGAAATCCTTAACAGAATAACTGTTTGCCCTTTCCAAACTTTTTGGGACCAATTTATCTTTAGGACAAATGTTGGATAGGTGTAAGTGTTCGGCCTAATTATATATTATCTTTCTCTTCCTTATATATAAAAGCAATTATGACATTAATTAAGTGACTGAATTATTAATATTCCTGTTGTTATACGTACTAATTAACTTAATAATACTCAATATAATTTTTTTAGTGCAAATTATTATAAAGTTTATATTTAATCAGGTATTCGAATTTAATATCTAGACCTGAAAAATTGCATTAACATATGATGCGAGCACTAACATGCATGTAGAAGAATTGCTCTATGTATATATGTGTATTGCATGAGGATCATTTACATAAAGCAATTCCTCGAATCCACATATATTGTATACATGATTTAGCTTTGTTCGATTAATTTTTTAACCTTACAATCTTGAGGCTGCTATTGCTAAACCATCTAAATTTATATATGTCCATAGTTGAGACATGAGAAATGTTTATATTGCCAAGTAGCAACACAATATATATAGGATGCAATTAAATGCCCAACGGGAGTTATTCAACATCCATCCAAATATGAGATGTTACCAGCTTATAATAAATATCAAGCATATTGGAATAATGTAAATTTTTTTCTTCTTTTTTTCTCTATATATGTAGGATGGTAATACACTTGACTTGATACTAATTATGATTTGATCTAAGGGTTGGTTAAGACCTTTGGCTTAATTCATAATAGAAAAATTCATTGAGAACCAAATCATAAAAGAAAAGCATTAATTAGACTGACTAAAGGAGAGATTTTCCTACTAAAAAAAATAACATATATGAATCATTAAAGTGATTCAGAGAACTCGAAAGAGAGAATAAGAACAAGGGAAGAAAGGTTCAGAAGGAGTACTGTACAAGTTTTTATTTTCCAGAATAATAATAACTGTTTGTTTTATACTACTTTCAGCACTTTACTAATAATGTTACATGCTTAGCACGTGACTACTCTCACACTTAGCTTGACTAGTTGACTCTTCTTCATTAAGCTGACTTAGACTGCACATACTAACTGACTTGGCTTGTTCTTCATTCATCTCTTTAATATCAATATTAGTCTCTGAAATGAAGAACAAATTAATGAGGTGATCTATTAGTCCCTGAAACAATTCCATATTTCTACATTTTCAGTATTATTATTATTATTTTTTTTTTTTTTTTTTTTAACCTTCACGGAATATTTGGAGAGACAGAGGATATATACCATTTTTTTAATGAACTTCATACTAATTATTTTTAGCCTTTGCTTAAAGTTTATGCTAACATTAAAAGCATCTCCATGCTTTTTCCGCCACCATTGTCGGCCACCGGCAATAGTCACCAGATTGACCCACGACTGGTGGGATCTGGCTAACCGTGTGCCAATTTGGCTATTTCCGGCCAGATCAAAGGCCGAAACTAGCCAAATCGCGATGGATTTGGTCGGAAACAATCAGAATAGATCGGCCTTTTGTGGCCATTTTTTACCAGATCCATAGCAATCTGGCTATTTTCGGTCTTCGATATAACTAGAAACAACCATATCAACGTGGATCTGGCTAGAAACAAGCAAATGGGCATGGATCTAGTCATTTTTTGCTAGATCCACAGTGATCTAGCTGTTTTCAGCCTTTGATCTGGCCGAAAATAGCGCCAACAGCGCACGGCCAACCTGATCTCGCTGGTCATGCGCCGTTTTGGTGACCGACGTCAGTGGCCAATGGTCTCTGGTAGTCTTGGGTGATTGGAGGTATTTTGTTAAAATTTAAACTTTGTTGTTGGCGGTGTTTTAGCTAAATTCTCAAATATAAGGGGTTAAAAAATTTTATTTAAATAATAATAATAATAATATAATGATATTCAAAAGGAAGGGCAATTCAGTAAAAGTCTCCGTTGATAACATTTTATTCTTTCCAACTAAACATCTTAATTATTCATACCCACTAATCTAACCAAACATATTGATATAACATTCTCCCGTAATCTTTAAGGTAATTTATCTCGGTGGTAATCCTATCTTTTAAGCAATAAAACATTCCTCAAACCAAACACACCCTTAAGGTATTTTCTTGTATAGCTAAGGCCATGCGATTAATATAAAGCGATTCCATAACATTTCAGTCTAGCCATTCATATAAAACGATTCCTTGACAAACTAGCAGTTTTATTTCAATAAAAGGAAATAGAAAACAATCATATTTAAGGCCCAGGATTACAGGATGATGCAATCTGTGGAATATATGACACGTAATGATATACTGGAAATGCTTATTTTTAAAACACTATAAAATTAAAAAATAATTAATTATGTGATATCTTGTTAATTTATAGACAAGTGAAGTTATCCTGAAACTCAGCCCTGAAAGGGCTATTATTCACCATCTATCCAAAAACCAATTGTTGTTTTTATCATAGTATCCTGCTTTGAGAATTATATGTTAAGTTTAATTTTTACAGTAGGACTAAATGTTTGTGATCTCTGAACATCAATAAAGCTACAGACATCAGGGCTTTTGCACCGAAAATGTGTACCGGCCTACGTGTTCCCTTGACTCATACCAGCAATCCAGACACGTGATTAAACAATAAATATTTTTCTAGTTAACGATTGTCCATCAAATATGGACGGTTGTTCACTTACATGGACTTCCGTCTATATTATATGGACGGAGTCCATTTTCTACGGACGGGCATCCCCATTTAAAGGACGCCCATCCATAAGTAAAATGGAATAATTTATTTTTTATAAAAATTAGGGACGGCCGTTCATCTGTTATGGACGGCCGTCCCTTTATTTTGGATGGACGTCCGCAAAATAATAGATGCCCGTCCTTAACCAAAATATGAAAAAAAAAAAAAAAAAAAAAACTTTGGGGATGACCGTCCATAAATTTTGGACGGCCGTCCCTTACGTTTGGACGGCTGTCCATTAGGAATGGGAATGGACGCCCGTCCATTATTTTGGTTTTTATACCGTGAGTGCGAGAAACCATGCACGTGAGGCTAAACTGTATGATATTCAGACGACGGTGCCTTTGAAAGAGCTGCATAAACTGTAATATCGTCCTTTGAAGCTTGGTGCCTAATACGAGCAACACAGTAAAATGCTTAAAATTCTTCAGGCGAAGTAACCATAATTACCATCACTATTCTTGGGAGCACACAGACAAATATACGGCAAAATAGAACTCACCCAGTAATATAACTACGAGTCAGAAGGTACTCATCAAGTTTCTTCAAACCAGAGGCTGAGTTAAGATCACCGAACACGACTGCCATCTCCAGCAACTGAGGTTTTTTCTAGAACTACAATCATAGAAATCAAAACTTAAGCATCCATTTCCTTTACTCGAACCATAAATTTTGAGAAACTAAACTTATAGCAACATTAAGCTATCTCCAACAGAAACTATCATTTTTAGTAGCTTTAAACACTGAAAACTTAGAAAAATTAACCCCAAAAAAAATAAACTTTTTAATCAGTAAAATTAATAAAGTGGTACAGAAGATCATAATAGCTCCAGTCTCTTTGATAACAAATAAACATACAGCAACCTTAACCAGAGGATAAATTATTATTCGAAGAAATCTTCTAATAACAAATAAACATACAGCAACCTTGATTTTTCATGCAAGTAAAACTAAACCATTGATTAACCGTACTCAAAAGCGCATTCATGAGACGGACTCCAGTCCATAAATATCCATGAATATCTTCAACTTCCCCAATTAGCTCTCTCACTTCATTAATCATTCATTTCTTCTCCCTTCAAATTTTTTATATATAATCCCTCGCTTCTCTTCATTTTGTCTCGTCAAACCCTGAACTGGAAGCTCTTAGTTGTATTAATGGCAGTTGTCAGGCAGCGCAGACAGTTGAATATGCAACTCCCTTTACCAGAATCCGACCGTTGCCCACGTTTCCCCTTACCTCTCCCTCCAGCTGCCGCCCCCTCCGGCAATTCTGCCACCGCGGCAGCCGCCATAACATGCTCAGACTTGGACAGGCTACAAGTCCTCGGCCACGGAAATGGTGGAACTGTCTACAAAGTCCATCATAAACGGACTGACAAGATATTTGCTTTATTGTTGTCCACGGCGAGAGCGAGAGCCAATGGAAATCCTCGGCCACGGAAATGGAGGAGTTCTGTAAGATGATGTTTCTTGATGCTTGCTTCCTCCTCTAGTTCATCTACTGCATTGTAAGAGAAGAACGAGAGGCTTTGAAGATGCATGCAATCAGGATGGCAAATTATCTGTTTAAATTTGCAGTTTAGAAACAAAGAAATTTCTCACCTTTCTGGCTGAGAGAATGATGTCGGATCAAGCAGTCAAGATTTGTCCATTTGTTATTTACATAATGGACGGGCGTCCATTAGTTACGAACGTCAGTCCAAACTTAAGGGACATCCGTCCACAATTTATGGATGGACGTCCAAATTTTTTATTTTATTTTTTAAACCAAATTAAGTTTGGACAGACGTCCATTTCTTACAGACACCCGTCCAAACTTAATGGATGGGCGTCTCATATTTGCGGGCGTCCGTCCAAAATGAAGGAACGGCCGTCCACAACCTATGAATGGTTGTCTTTAATTTTTATAAGAATTTTTTATTCTATTTTACT